AACTAGAAGCTGCATACCATTCATGCCCAAAAAATGACATCAAAATTATTTATGGTGATCTCAACGCAAAAATGGGAAAAGAGCAACAATACCTACCAACTATAGGTAAGCACAGCGTTCATGAGGTATTAAATGACAATTGCATCAGACTAATAAATCTAGCAACTTCCCTTAACATGGTCATGGAAGAAGTAAATAATCCAGCAGAAACCAGAAAATTTTACCAAAAACTTAATAAAAGTAGAAGACAATTTAAACCAAGAACAATGATGTACAGAGACAAAGAAGGAGATATAGAAACTCAACAGAGTGAAACACTACAAAGATGAACAGAATTCTTCAAAGAAATTTTGAAAAAAACGAAAATCCACTATATGATGGAATTATACTGGATCAAACGGATACCAGAGAAACAACCCCCCCCCCCTTCAGTAGCTGAAATGTAAGAAGCAGTTACCAGACTGAAAAACAACAAGTCGCCTGGATTAGACAACATTAGCGCAGAATTAATAAAGGAAGGTGGAGACTCTCTATTGAATGCGATACACGAACTAATATATGGAATAATAAACAACTGCCACAAGACTGGAATACCGAAGTAATTATCCCACTACATAAAAAGGGAGATCAGCTTCAATCTAAAAACTACCGGGCAATAACGCTACTGACTGTGACATATAAAATACTGTCAAATATTGTGTATGACCAATTGAGACCATATGCGGAACAATAGTTGTAGTAGTTAGATCAGATCTTCGTCTTGAGGTAAATCTTGGAAAAGACAAGTGAATTTAATATAGACACACATAATCTTTTCATTGACTTTGAGAGTACCTATGATAGCATCCATCGAGAATTTGTAATCCATGTACTAAAAGATATTAATATCCCCACTCAACTCATTGATATAATAAAAGAAACACTTAAAGTACAAAGTAAAATTCGAATTCAAAACGAACTAGCAGATACAATCCATGTGAGAACGGGCCTACGACAGGCAGATGCCCTATCCTGTATTCTATTCAACATCACATTAGAGAAAATAATTAGGGAGTCAAAAATTAACACCAGAGGAACAATAATAACAAAAAGTGTACAAATATTGGCATTTGCAGATGATGTTGATATCATAGCTAGAAGCGAAAGAAAGATGATAGAAGCATTTAATGCGATAGAAAGAGCGGCACAAAACAGTGGCCTAAACATTAACGAAATAAAAACCAAATGCATGAAGGCCAGTAAATCGACAGGCCAAAGAAACCTACAGAATCTGACAATAGGAGACTATAACATCGAAAGGTTCACTAGTTACCGCAGATAACAATGTCAGTGAAGAAGTTAAGAGAAGAATACATATCGCTAATAAAACATATAATGGACTGATTCAACATCTAAGATCTAACAACATCACAAGAAAAACTAAATGCAAAATATACAATACCCTGATAAAACCAGTCCTTGTATATGGATCAGAGACATGAACACTGTTGAAAATCGATGAGAACCTATTAGGTACATTTGGGGAGGGAGAAGGTCAAAGGGAAGACCCAAACTTAGATACATGGAACAAGATCTGGAAACACACATGATTACCAACTGGAGAAACAAAGCAAGGAACAGAACAGAATGGCGGAAAATTCTAGAACGTGCTAGGGCCCAGAAAGGCTTCGAGCGTCTGATGATGAAGATAGGACACGATAAATAAGTTGAAACATCAAATCGTTTCTTTTAAAATTACAGTTTATTCAAATATACATATGCTTATGATGTACGTTTGCACCAACTACTGCTACTTGGATATGTATTTAAATGACCAATTAGACCATTTGATGGGAATAAAGATAAAGATTTAGAAAGCAGAAGCATTCACAAAAATGAGGAAAATATTTAAAAGTCAGAACATATGATTAAAAATGAAAGTCTGTTTATTCGAATTGAAATTGTGGACTATAAAGATATTAATAAAAAAAGTTGAAGCCTTTGAGACGTGACGCCATAGACGCATATCTTGGACAGAGGTTCTATAATAATTGCCAAAATATATAAACCATATAATGTGAAATAAACGATATAGTTAGCACCAAACAAGGCAGCAGTGACCCTCTCAAAACAATGAGGAGCAGACTAAGCTTGCAGTGTTCAAGATTTACATATATATTAATTTATTGGAGTTCCATGCCATTTTCATTTTCATAGCTTGTGGAAATAAACAATCAAAATAGTGGCAGTCGCTTTCTACGATACAAGTTAATAAATTATCAAAATAAAATATAAAAATTACAACAACTTATTGTAAAAAATAAATTTCTTCTAAGCATACTCATGACAAATCTATAAGTATTGGGAAATACATTGTAGTACCTACTGAAATATCAGGTAATTGTTGACATTAAACAGTTAAATATCTAGAAGCAAAATCTTGAATCTCTGTACATTGCTTGTAAATGTGCATTTAAGTCTTTTCGTTTTGGAGATTAATAATATTTATATACAATTTTCAAATATAATTTAAATCAAAAGATATTATCCCTATAAGAATATCATATCAAATAATTTAAGATCTGAGGCAAGCCTTCAAGTAAAACTTTGAAATTTTGCAGTTGTAGTCTATATTTCACACATACTGTGTACTTCTGTTAACAAGCTAAACACGGGAGTGCAACAACAACAGATTGCTTATATATTTGCATTTGCGTATGTGAAATGCCTACTTTTGCTGAGGATCTGATTGACTATGAAATATACAATGATTTTCTTTTTTTAGTGGAAAACTAAAAAAAGACTGTACAACTACTTTAGACCATAAAAACAGTCACATTGTATAATTAGATTTGTGAAAAATAAAGACAAAACATGAGTAATGGAAGGGTTTGCAAATAGACAAGAGCTTTCAAAGATGACCAAAAGCATATTCATAACACAGAATGGAGTGGGTCCTCAATTATCACTGATGATTTAATTCTAAGCTGCTACCAAGTTTTATAGGGCACATGAATGAGTTGGTCACTGCTATGTGAGTAATCATTAACACTAAAACCTGAGCCAAGAAAAAGTGACCATGCTTCATGATTTATCCATTATCAGAGGCATTCTCTTAAGTTTCTAGAAATGATATTTATGAAATTGTTATCGAACGCATAAACTACAGAAAGTTGTGCAAAAGATGCAAGTAAAGAGATCCTTTTGCTACATGATAATCCCTGTCAACATATGGCCAAACGAACTCAAGATTTCATGGCATCATTTGAGTGGGAAAAAGCTGGTCATTCTCCATACAGTTCTGATCTACTGTCCAATGATTATTATGTGTATCCCCAACTGAAATAGTTAGGGACAAACTTCTATAGAATGAAATTCAAAAGCTTGATAGACATGCCAAATGTCTTAATATTTGTTTCAATTATGTGAAAAAGAGTGTTATCTTCGTTAGAAAAATGAAATTATTATAAAAAGTCCTTGTTTTTTTCTTATAATATAAAACTGGAATATACTTAAAAACACCTTCTACATCCCAAACTGTACTCATAAAATAAACTACAGTAGACTCCCTCTATAACGAGAACTGAAATGGCAGACTAATTACCTCGTTATAAGCAGATCTTGTTATATCCAACAACAATAATACTGTGCATACATATGAATATGTAGTTTTCTAAAACATTAACTTTCTATAGTAAAGCCATTCAGAGCAATATAAGATGCTAATAAATATTGTTTGAATGGTTGAAAGATGTCAACCCCCTACAATGACACCTGTGAATCATAAATTGCAAATTTCCAACTAAGAATCATAAGAAGTTTATTGCAAGCGGCATTTAAAAAGGGTATTTATTTATAGAAACGGCCAGGCCAAAACGTAAAAAAAACACATTTTTCAATCTTATTTTTTCTCTTTATAAGCACATTTAACTCACTATAGAGGGTTATAGTTCAATAGAAATTTCACGGGACATCTAATGTACCTCTTTATAAGCGAAATCTCATAATAACCATGTATGTTAAAGAGGGAGTATACTGTATTTATAAACGGCATTTTAAGTAACATACCTCCATGCCTTTTTTAGTATATAGGATCTCTAATGTGGAAATTTCTACTAACTTTTTCTTTTAACATAATGTCATTAAATTTCGTTAATACACACTAAATTTTCCACTGCATGTGTGAATAGTCCTGAGCAAAGACTGCTGGAAACAACAGAAATGAAAGTCTTACGAAAAATATCAAACCAAACTCTAGGAGAGTACAGTAGAGAGTAAATTTTTATTTGCATAAATAAGAAACAGAGTAAGAAGTGAGGAAATAAGAGCGAGATGTGGTATAGAGGAAATAAATGCGTGTACCAAAAGAAGAAAAGTGGAATGGAATCAACACATTGGAAGGAATGACAGAAAATAAAATAGTACGAATAGCAAGAGACAAATCACCAAATGGAAGATCATTAAGACGACTGAGGAAAAGATGGTCAGACAACGTCAATTGAGGCTAAAAGACAAAGTAAAACAGGCATTAAGCCTATTTATAAAGTAGAAAGGAGAAGACGAATTTTTCAAAGAAGAATTGTCCACTAAGGCCCCCAACAAACAGCATTCCATTTATGTTAAATGTTGTCCTGCTTTCTTTTCTTAATATTCACTAGTAGATTGTTGGGACACCAAATGCAATGCTGTTAAACATATGGTTTGATAGAAGTTTATTGGTAAAACAAAAACTGGCAATATATACAATTTTGAACATTACAGAAGAGCAAAAACTCAAAATAGATGCATTTGATGCAAAACAGTGGACAAAAGAAAAATGAACAAAGAATCAAGAGATGCATTGATGGAAAGCAGGGGACAAAAGTATTCAACGAATATAAAAGGAGTGGTAATTATCAATATAAACTAATATACTAATGTCAAGCTTACCTTTAGTATTACATAAAACAACTCATATATGATGGAAAGAAAAATTATTTAAGTATAAATTTTACTAAATACTTCACTTCATTAATACTTATATTTGAAATCAGTCACCAGCAACATCATCTTTTGATTTACATTATATGTTAATCAACAAAAAACTGAGAAATATTAAAACTACAGCTATATTTTATTTAGTTCAATTTCATTTAAAGGGTATGCACATTTGCCAGATTGCCTCTTAATTTAACTCGAAATTCCCTCTGTAATGCTATTGCTTTTGATACTACTTATGTCCATAAGTACTATTTCTTCTGAATTTTCATTACATGTGTTTATGATCTTATAGCTCTCAGGAATGGTAGTATGGGACCTACTGTGGTACTGCAGGTGCTGTTTGAACTTGAAAGACTTGTCACAAACCTCACATATATATGGCTTTAAGTCACTGTGTATCCTTTCATGGAAGTCCAATTGCTGCTTCAGCTTAAAAGCTTTATCACAGGTATCACACTTAAAAGGTCTCTCGTCCTCATGAACCGTTGAGTGTATCAGCAATTGTTCTTTAAACTTGAACGTTTTGTCACAAAAGATGCAGTTGATTGGTCCTTCATTATGACTTTTCATATGGGTATCAAGTTGCTGCTTTAATTTAAATTTCTTGTTACAAACATCACACTCAAAAGAGGGAGTGTTTTCATGCAATCTATAATGCCCCCGCATTTGCTGTTTAAATTTAAACTGCTTCTTACAAATCTTACATGAAAACGTTTTAACATTTTTGTGAACCATGCCATGCATTTTCAGCTCTTTTCTGGTTTTAAAGCCTTTAGGACAACTCTTACAAGTAAATTTGTTTGCAATGGAAGGAGCTGGTGGTTTAGTGGTATCGGGATTTTTCTTAGGTCTTCCTCTTTTTTTGCGTGGGGGCTCAGTTTCAACAGGTTTGACAATAGGTTCTGGTTCCTTGTTCACCACTATCTTCTTAGGTCTACCTACCGGCCTACCTACTTTACCTTTTCGACGGACTACCTTGACGTTCACTCCACGGCTTTCTTTACCACGAGTTGATAATTTTTCTCTTTTGGCTTTTTTAATAGGTTCAGTATACTTCAGAGTTGGTTCAAATTGAGTATCTCCGTTTTCAAAATGTTCCTGAGGATATGGGATAGACTGTTCACTATCCAAATTACCTTCCAAAAAGGAAGAAAAACTGTTTTCTTGTATTTCAAAACTATCGTTGTCATCTTTTACTTGCACTATCATTTCGTTTTCGAAGTCCATTTTGCTAATAAAAGAGTAAACAAAAACCTCAAACCAAACCTCAACTCAACCCTCTGGAGTTTGGCATTTATTTATATTGACACGACAGCAGTCAACATGTCGACATCTTTGAGAATTATATGCAACTATAAGAAGAAAATTTGTGTTTAGGTTTACTATTTGAAAATAAATGTAACAAAATATTTTAAAATTTTTATTTTAATTCTTCATTCGCATTCGACACAAACACGATGCATAATCATGATAATTTCTTTAAAAAAATTATAAATATTTTATTTACTAATTTTTTTGAGCATTCCAGTCACATATTTTATATTTAATTGTCGTAGTGCAAGTTTTGTCCATAAACGCTTTCAATTTCAATCAGCTGTTTTATGCCATTTTCTAACTAAGACTCAGTGAAAAGTAAACGAAATTGTTTTGGAGATTTTTCTAAAAATTGAAAATGTTAAAATCACCTCCGAGGTTTTACGATATATGTTTAGAGGCCGCCGTTGCAGATTCTGTACTCACTTGCAATTTTTATAAAAAGGAATTCAGAGCTTTGCCCAACAATGTTTTGTTTGATTTTTATTACAGGGTATGTAGATCTTTTAGCTTTTGGCCCATTTTCACTAAAAATGTAATTGGTGCATTTAATAGGCTTATTGAAGGTGTTAACCAGTTTGGGATCTGTTTAGGTTTATAAGGGAATACATTTAGCCCAATAAGATAAGAATATGTTGTGTATTAGGGCATGTGATTTTGTGAGCAGCCTATTTGTGTTTGTTCTATTGTAGTTATTTAAATCGGTTATTGAAATATGATATGGTTGCAGTTGCAGACTATATTTTTGTATTGTCAGAATTAGCAGATTGCTGTGAAGCATCAATATTAGAGGACTTTCAATTACTTTACAGACAATTGATAAACAGTATAATAATAATAACTAGTTATAATTATATACTCAACAATCTGTATCTAACAAATTTGATTTATATTTTTCCTTATAATTTTTATATAACTAAATAGTTGCTTCTAAAAGTGACATTCACAAGAAAGAAAAACTAATCACTCTCTGGCAAAAATGGTAATTGCATGTGACATCCAGTTATTTGCTGTGATTTCCTCATTTCATTGAGAATTAATTGATTTTAGGTAAATAATGTTTCTGTTTTTAGATCACTCTCGAACTAGGAATTTCTCGTACATTAATTTTGATTTGCTCTTTTGTTTTCTCTTCCTTTGTTTTTAAACTCGTGTTCTTATTTCTGTTGTTTCTTTACCTTGAGTGTCTTCACTTTTTGCCTGTTATATTTTAAAAGGGATTAATAAAAAGCCTTTTAAAAATGTTTAACATCCTTTGCATATTTATTTTGTTCGTGCTTAAAAGCAGCTTTTACACATAGTTTGTAGTAATACTACAAAAGATTATTATTCATGCACACTGTACTTAGTATGTTTAATTTTTTACTACAAGTCCTACAATTACTGTATGTTGATAATATCTGTAATTGAAGTAATTTTACTGGCATTTGCTATCATGTTCACTGCTGCCAGGTAACTAGCTTTATTTTTTATGTACCAAGTTTCAAGATTTTAGGACTTTCCATTAAGGAAAACCATAATATGAAAAAAATGTGACCTATTGGCCTAAATATATTAAAGTTCTTCCTTGGACCAAAAAAGAACCTAGGTACCTACCTAGTTTCAACACACACGCTTTTATTTATTTATTTATGAACGGGATAACACCAATCTTCTTCTTATAGTGCCTATCAGTTACAGATGTTGGACACTAACAGGCTATTCTGACTTTGTTGACTGCTGCCCTGAAAAGTCCAGTAGTTGTTAAGTTAAACCATTTTCGCAGGTTATGCAGCCAGGATATTCTTCTCCATCCTGTACCTCTTTTCCCATGCACTTTACCATGACCATGAAGTATGGTCCAAAGTAGGTCATATCGTTGTTCTTCATCAGTTGGCGCTACAGTCCTTCGTGAGCCTTGGCCTGCTTCAAAACATTCTTCCATCCTTCCCTATCGAGTGTCTGCCTTCTCCAGCCCCTCACTCCAATCTCCCTCAGATCTTCCTGTACATCGTCCAGATATCTGAGTTTAAGTCGCCCCCTTCCTCTTCTTCCGATCGGATTGTTTAGCATAGTTATTTTAGTGGGATCACTCTCATCCATCCACATAACGTGGCCCACCCGCCTTAGGCGGTTTATTTTGATGGTCTTCCTAATATCTGCATCACCAAGAAGTCTATAGAGTTCAAAGTTATATCGCCTTCTCCACAGACCCTGTTCGTTTACTCCGCCATATATGGTCCTCAATACTTTTCTTTCAAAGACTCGTAGTAACTCTTCATCTCGGGTCGTCATTTGCCCATGTTTCCGATCTGTCTGTGAGCACTGGGTGTATTATTGTTTTATAAAGTTTGCACTTTGTTGCTCTTGACTGACTTCTCGCTCTTAGTTGAGGGCCCAGGTCAAAATATCAGCGGTTAGCCACGCATATTCTTTTTTTTTTTATCTCGTTGGATGTGTTATTTTTGTAGTCTACTAGTGATCCTAAGTAGCAGAATTCTTCTACCATTTCTACATATCGTTGTTCATTGCGCATTATATAGCCCAGGAATTCGAGTTTCCGACGTTTTATGGTTACGACTACTTCGCTGTCTTTACCCATCCTATGTAGTACTTCTTTGTTGGTAATTCTGTCTATCCAGGAAATACTCAACATGCGTCTATAGCACCGGTTAAGGTCCATGACTGCACGCCGTATAAAAGAACGGAAAATATGTAGCATTTTAGTAAACAAACTTTTATTTCCAATTTTATGTCGTGGCTGTTAAATATTTTTTTCATTTTGACGAAAGCTGATCTTGCCTTCTCGATCCTTATCTTGTCGATTGGCCCCACTGTTCATTTAAGTTTGCACCCAGATAACAAAAGTTGGTGATTTGTGTTATAGGTTGTTGGTTTACTAGTAATTGACCAGGTGGTTTATAAGTATTCCCTCGTGTATGTCCGTTAGCGCTAGGTTCATAATGTGCTCTGAATATGTATTGAACAATAATGGGGACAATATACATCCCTGTCGTACACCTCTTTTTATCTTTATAACACCAATAACAGTAAAAATACAATAATACAGAAACAATAAACTTATGAAAGTACAAGAGACCTCTTAAGTTTACTCAAACTTTGACTTTCTTGAAAAGAGGAAGAAGACCTATTGCCTCAACGTCAATAGGACAAGTCCAAGTAGGGTTGCACCAAATGGAATCTATGTACCAAGACTCCAGGACTTTTCAATACTTGTTGGATTTTTTATCTAAGAAAACAAAAGAAGAGGTTTAAGAATATAAGGAAAAGAAGTAGGATTGATTACAACATGAGGAACTTCGTGCCAAATTTCAAGACTCGTAGACTACAATGACTTGGTTTCATTGATGTGTTGAGAATGATTCATGAAAATATCAAAGCAAAGACAAATGGGTATTTAAAAGTAAAAGAGGTTAATAAATAAATAGACAGTCACTCAATTTGCGCCATATTATTAGTAACTGATTTTATGCTGACGCAAATGTGAGATTTTTGTCGCATATAAACAAGTATATATTTTTTTCAAGCCTGTCCATAGAACTTTTTACTTCATTCTTTAGAAAACTTGGGTTAGTTCACAATAGGGTATGCTGGAATATGTGGTACCCCCTTCCTATTAACTTATCTATTTTTAGAACAAGAAACAACTTCTATATCAACAACTCATTCTGGGTCCTGGCTTCTTCTAGGATTTTCCGCCATTCTGTTCTGTTTCTTGCTTTGTTTTTCCAGTTGGTGATCTTAAGTATTTTCAGATCTTGTTCCACTTGTTCCATGTATCTAAGTTTCGGTCTTCCCTTTGACCTTCTTCCTACTGGTGTTTGCCTCATTATATGTTTCGGTGTTTCAGTCTCTAACATCCGTTCAACATGGCCCATCCAGCGCAGACGTCCGATCTTTATGGATGTTATGATCTCAGGTTCATTGTATTCTGTGCATAGTTCAAAGTTATATCTTTTGCGCCATATGTCATTTTCCTTCACCCCCTTATATATGTGTCTAAGGATTTTTCGTTCAAACATACCTAATAGGTTTTCATCGCTTTTCGATAGTGTCTATGTCTCTGATCTATATACAAGGACCAGCTTTATCAGGGTCTTGTATATTTTGCATTTGGTTTTTCTTGTGATGTTGTTAGATCTGAGATGTTTAATTAGTTCATTATATGTTTTATTAGCGATATGTATTCTTCTCTTAACTTCTTCAATGACATTGTTATCTGCAGTAACTAGTGAACCTAGATACTTAAAAATTTTCACTCTTTCGATTTTATAGTCTCCATTGTAAGATTCTGTAGGTTTCTTTGGCCTGTCGATTTACTGGCCTTCGTGCATTTGGCTTTTATTTCGTTAATGTTTAGGCCACTGTTTTGTGCCGCTCTTTCTATCGCATTAAATGCTTCTATCATCTCTCTTTCGTTTCTAGCTATGATATCAACATCATGTGCAAATGCCAATATTTGTACACTTTTTGTTATTATTGTTCCTCTGGTGTTGACTTTTGACTCCCTAATTATTTTCTCTAATGTTATATTGAGTAGAATACAGGATAGGGCATCTCCCTGTCGTAGGCCCGTTCTTACATGAATTGTATCTGTAGTTCGTTTTGAATTCGAATTTTGCTTTGTACCTTAAGTTTTTCTTTTATTATATCAATGAGTTGAGTTGAAATATTAAACTCTTTCAATGCATGGATCAGAAATTCTCGATGGATGCTATCATAGGCACTCTCAAAGTCAATGAAAAGATATGTGTCTATATTAAATTCACTAGTCTTTTCCAAGATTTGCCTCAAGACGAAGATCCGATCTATTGCGGTCTTCTGCCTGCTGAAACCACATTGATATCGCCCAACTATTTGTTCCGCATATGGTCTTAATCAGTCATACGCAATATTTGACAGTATTTTATATGCCACAGTCAGTAGCGTTATTGTCCGGTAGTTTTTACATTGAAGCTGATCTCCCTTTTTATGTAGTGGGATAATTACTCCGGTATTCCAGTCTTGTGGCAGTTGTTTATTATTCCATATGTTCACTATTAGTTCGTATATCACATTCAATAGGGAGTCTCCACCTTCGTTTATTAATTCTGCGCTAATGTTGTTTAATCCAGGTGACTTGTTGTTTTTCAATCTGTTAACTACTTCTTGCATTTCAGCTACTGAAGGGGGGGTTGTTTCTCTGGTATCCGTTTGATCCAGTATAATTCCATCATAGTGGATCTTTGTTTTTTTCAAACTTTTCTCTGTTAAGTTTTTGGTAAAATTTTCTGGTTTCTGCTGGATTATTTAATTCTTCCATTTCTTGGAGCTCTATGTCGTTGTTGTAGTCGTTGATATGCATTATTTTTCCTCTCTGTTATGTTACGACATTCTTCATCGAACTATTTTCCTTCAGTTGATTTGAGCTTTTTTGTAAAGTATTTGACAATTTGTGTGAAATATATTATGCTACGACAAAAATTGAAAACCTTGTATTCATGTAATAAGTTTAAAATCTTTTTAATACCTCATTTAAGGGGTAAGGACAGTGAAGTATAAAATACAACATCTTTGTGATTATTTTCAAATGGAGGAAACATTCTGCAGTGGTCGTATCTGTTACAGCTTTTGAAATACTGCTCTCAAAAATGTTTAAAAGTTTGATTTTATATTTTGAGTTATACAACAAAGTAAAGTAACAATTGATCTTGTTGAAAAAATTAATAAAAATTGTTCGTTCACCGTTCACATCATTAACCAGTACACTTCCACTGCTGGACATAGCTTTCCCTCAGCACTTTTCACCTGCCTCTGTTTTGTGCGGTTTGTATTCAGTTACTACTAGCACATTTCAGGCCATCAGTCCATCTGGTTGGTGGGTGGCTTCTGCTCTGTAGGGCTCCTTGTCTTGGCATCAACTAGACAATATATTTTGTCAATCAGTTCTGTTCTTATTAGATAATATTAAGAACTGTTCTTCCTGCTTTGATCATCAAACAGCCCCTTTATCAATAATGTATTTACAATCTACAACTTTTATGTCATAGCATACTGTGTTGTTTGCATATGTTCTAAAGATAGATAGTATATTAGAGTGGATAACAATTATTCCAAGACATTGCCAATATATGCACAGTTACTCATTACTTTACATTAAAATTTTTTTTTTTTTCAGATGTTTATTGAAAAACGTCTGTGTTTGTTAGCAGTGGAACTAAGCGATTTGGAGGTTTTTAATCGAATATTATCAGTAAAACATCAAAGAATGAAATTTTTAAAAAGTTTCCAGTCCTTAATTGATCACGGCACAAGTAGTACAGAAGAATTGATCAAGGCTTATGTCCACTATGGTCAGAGAACAGATAGTAGTGACTTAAAAGTTATAGAGACTGGTTTGAGGATAGGTGGATTTTTTAATGATGGTGGATTATTTGATTGTTCTATAGAGATTTTGAAAATTGCCGAAAAGTTTTGTATGAGGAGGGAAAAAGATGTAACAACTTTGAAACTAATGTTGGATTGTTACCATAAGTAAGTAAATTAAGAATATTTTTAATTACAAACAGATTTGATGGATTCAACCATTATTTGATGGAAATTCATTTCATGTAACAATAAAACACTGAAAAATTTGTTTTTAAAACTTCCACAAAATTTATTATAAAATCTATCACTACAGCTGTTTCGACCAGTGTGACTTTCTCAAGTGATCTATTTTTGGCATGCGTTTACACTTTATAGTCTTTAATGAAATAGGTTGAGGAAGGGAGAACTGTTTGTCTCAAGTTGGTCATTCAGAATTATATCTGTGTTTTTTAATTTTTTAATTAAAGGCTCCCGCATATAATCCCGCAAGTGAGGCAAAAGGCGAAAATCATTGTTACTTTACACCCAAGCTTTCCTTGGTCTTATTTTCTTGTCAGTCTTTTTATTTATTACGTTTCTGCCAAATCGACATAAATAAAATAATAAATCGTTAATTAATTAGTCATTTTTTAATCGAATGATAACTAAAAGATAACACAATCAGGAAATAATCTTTTAAATACACAGATGTTCATATTATTCAAAATTAGGGGATTTTATCAGGAAATGTACAACAATAATAAGATTAAAAACTATATTTAAATTACCCGATTTAATTAAAGGGGATATAGCTCAGTGGTAGAGCATTCGACTGCAGATCGAGAGGTCCCCGGTTCAAACCCGGGTGTCCCCTGAACTTTTTATTAAATTTTTTAGTATCTTTAACTAAATTTTAAAATGTATTTTGTCCATTATTTTATGTTATATTTTATATGTGTGTTATTAATGTTGAGTGTCATAGCTTTATATAAATAATCTCACGACTAGTAAGTTGCACTGACATTTTTTGATATATTGTAAATATTTACATATTCTTCTAATTACAGTGTCTTGAAAAAGGAATTAAACAATTCCGAAAGCTAGACCAAAAGTCAAAAGAGTGTTTCTGTAACATCCCGGCCAAACTTTTGACTGCAGCCCTAATGAACTTTGTTGTTTTATTTGTATACAGATTGAACGAAATAAATTCGGAACATACGAAATATTATGTATTTCGGCTCAATTCTGCTGTAGGTGGTTGACCAACAAACGGTTGTCAAATAATTATAATATAAAAATCCAATACTTCAGTGGGCTGCTGTATTCTGAAATCATAAAAATTTAAAGCTACACATAAATCTACGATTTTATTATGCTGTCAAACCACTTATTATAGTCCAGGAAATGAAGCATTTCACCTCGCAATTCTTTCGTCCTGCGTGGATTGACTTGAAATTTTAATAGAAGGTAGGTAATAGCCAAGGATCAAAATCTATATCGAACCAAAGTGCGCCAAAGCCTTGGGGTGGTTGTCACCCTATCTCGGGGATGAAAATTTTTATTTACGTTTTAACTACAGGTTTCGATTAAAAAAGTGATTCTAGACAAAAAATGTTCTATACATTTTTTTTTGTAAAATTGATATTTTTCAAGTTATTTGCGATTGAAAGTAACAACTTTTAGACGAAAAAATCGACGTTTTTAATCGATTTTTCCGCGAATAACTCGAAAATGGTGCATTTTATCAAAAAAATTTTAGAGAACAAATTTGTAGCTTTTAAAAAGACAAATACAATTCATTTTTTAAAATGTTTTTGCGATTTAATAGGAACCGAAATACAGCCTACCTCTGTTCAGCGGTTTTCTTCAAATGCCAAATTTGAAAGATTCAAAGTCAAATATCGGGAAAATGATGCATTTTTGTAAGAAAACTCACACAACCTTTTTTAAAGAGCATAAATAGACCTATCATAAAAAAGACTCTAGCTCAAAAATTGAGTGAGTTATGATGAAAATAAGTTCAATACCTCATTTTTTTACGAAAAAATCGATGAAAACAACCCCCTAACCACTCCCATAATTAAAATCGATCTTCACTCTTCTGCAATTCTCTTTGTACATGTATTGTTAATACGTCCAAGAAGTTTGACCCATTTAAAATGCTTAGTTTTAGAAAAAGTACAGCATAAAGCGAGAAACGATTTACAATTTCATATTTTTTTACCTTCTTTTTTTAAATATCCCCGAAAATACTGAATATATGAAAAAAAAGTACTAAATTGTAGCTTTTTTAATGACTAAAATTTTCCTTTATTTAGATTTGTTGTACAATGAATATTTATCGAGATAAAGCCGTTTAAAGCATCGATTTACGATCAAGCACCATCTTTTTCGAGCCCTTTAAACTCACCACATTTAAAAACCAAGGGTTCCAAAAAGATTTAATTCACAGATCTTTGTAGTTCTTAAAAACCTCTACAAAATCGTTTTTGAAGAAACACTCTATCGTTAAAAATGAAGGAAATACGTTAACAAAACCAATTAAATTTTTTTTTCCGGAAAATTCCATTAGTATAGTACAGTACATTTCGGAGCATAATAATCTACAAAACCGGTGTATTAGGTAGTGGGGCGTTATACATTCGAAATTTTAAGCGTTCTTATTTTGAAATCCCATACAACAGAATAAAACATCTGCTCATATGTCTATGGCTTGGCAATGAAAATATCAGAGCAACATATTCTGGATGGTATTCCAAAGATGTTTGTTATTACCCGTACGCATGAACAAACAACCTGCACCCGATGAACTTTTGAAAATTATTTTTTGCCAATGCAAAAAAGAATGCGCCGTTTCATGTGGGTGCAGAAAAGTTGGTTTATACTGTAACTCTACTTGTTCTGGGTGCTCAGGTGAAGGGTGCAATAATAGTCCACCAATAATTGAAGAAGATGAGGATGACATAGATCACGATGAAGATGTAATTGATGACGAATAAAATTAATATTATAATTGTTTTACCTATAAATGTAAATATTTTCAACTATTTATGTAAATGTATAAGAATATATGGTGCCTTTTATGTTGATAAATTTTTTTGTATTTAATTCTACTTTTTTCTATTTATATCTATTAAATTAGTTTATAAAAACTGCAATGTTGTAAAGGGTGATTTTCAAAAGTTGAAAAGTTGCAAAATTTTGGTAAAAAATTGTTTTCACCTATAGCACTCATAACAATTGATTTTTAAGGGTTGAAAATGTATGAAATTGTATTTTAACTAATCAAAACCAAATTTCACTCATCTTAAGATTTGTAAAGTTATTTTACAATTTTTGAAAATTAGGGGTAGTTTTCACCCCTAAGAACAATCAGGGTTCATCGGCATGACATAAACTATAAAGCAGAGGGTGAGTTGAACTTAAATCTAAATTTTTATGCAAATCGTTCCAAGGCGAAATCATTTTCTTCGCATTACTACTTTTTTTTACATTAATCTCTAACAAGGGTCGCTTTTTAAGGGTTGAAATATGATGGAACTTTATTCAAAAGCACGAAACTATCATTATTTAATTAATTCAAACCAAATTTTACCCATATTCAAGTTCTATATGTTATTTTATAATTTTTGACAATTAGGGGTAGTTTTCACCCCTAAGAACAATCAGAGTTCGTCGACATGACATAAACTATAAAGCAGTAGGTGAATTGAGCTTAAATCCAAATCGATCCAAGGTGAAATCATTTTTTTAGAATTAGTAATTTTTTTACATTAATCTCTAACAAGGGTTGCTTTTAAGGGTTGAAATATGATGGAACTCTATTCAAAAGTATAAAATAATCATTATTTAACTAATTCAAACCAAATGTTACCCATATTCAGGTTTATTATGTTATTTTATAATTTTTGACAATTAGGGGTAGTTTTCACCCCTAAAACCCTTCAGCGTACTTCGGTTCCATATAGATTTTGATCCTTGGGCTATCACCTACCTTCTGTTAAAATTTCAACTCAATCCATGCAGGACGAAAAAATTGCGAAGTTTTAACTTTTTTCGAGCTTCATTTCCTGAACTACAATCGCTTCCTTTACGCAAACAACATTGTTGCGAGACAGATAGTTGAACGATATTTTATACAATGTCTATACCCAGGTATGGATTTATTTTTGTCCAAGTTTTATATTGGTCCACTATTTCAAATGCAGTTCAAACAGACATATATTAAATTGTATGATCCGTTTTAAATTCGTTCAATCTGTATGTATGTATCGAAAAAAGGAGTATGCCCGTCAATTTAAATAAAATATTTAGTTCATAAGGAAAAATGTGGGAGGGATATCATTCTGTGTCAGTATTTAATTTCTTTTAATATTTTAGAAAAATATACGCGGAGGCGATATACTGTGAATTTGAAAAGGCAGCTGAAACGTTTGCAGCCGCTAATAAAGTTATTGCGGAGTTAGAAGAGAAGAATGCCGTACCGAATTTAGCAGGACTGTATGCAAATTTTTCATTTTTATTTTTTGGACGCAGCGAATATGACGAGGTAAGTTATTGCCTACACCAATGATAGGCAAGTTTTTTAGGATCGGGTCAATATATTTTTGTATTTAAAAAAAATAAATGTCATTTTTTAAATGTTAGGTCTTTCAGAGGAGCAAACATAGATAGTGATCATTATCTTGTTAAATCACGATTTAAAGAGAGAATATCCAATTTAAAAAATGGAGATCGGGAGAAGGAGAGAAAAAATCGACATTAATAAACTAAAAGATCCCGACATTGCAAATGTATACAGACAGCAAATAGAAGATCAAATTAGGACATAAAACTTAGAAGAAGAAGATGATATTAACCAACTATGGGCAAATATACGAGATATTATGTTACAGAAATCCGTTGAAATATTGGGCAAAACCAAGTCAGAAAAAAGAAATCATTAGTTTGATCATGAGTGCGAAATGGCCACAAATAGAAAGAACGCAGCATATCAAAAAATCATTGAAGCAAGTTGTACACGGAGAAAAAAAGAAGAGTATAGACGTCTTAGAAGAGAGGAAAAACGTATCCATGGACTTAAGAAGAGGAAATACGAACATAATACTCTCAGTGAGATACAAAGTTTGTTGGATAAAAATGAAAACGAGGAAATAGTACAAATCCTTATACACTAGCCGTCGAGAATTTAAACTACAAACGATGTTGAAGGAGGTTAAAACATAGAAAATCAACAAAATCTACAACGTCAACTACACAGTGAAGACCCAACAAGAGAAGAAGTGTCAAATGCGATCCTAAGACAATAAAGTCCCAGGAATCGATGAAATCTGTTCGGAAATGTTTAAAAAAAGGTGGTGATTAACTTTTTGTAGCAATCAAGCTTTTGCAAAGGGTGATCAACTGGACTGTAAGAACTATAGAGGCATTACTCTGTTAGCATCTGCGTATAAAATCTTCGGTCATCAATATCAATGCGGATTTACTGCTGAAAAGTCAACTATACATCAAATTCAAGCACATAGGCAGATTCTAGAAAAGTCACTAGAATATTACATAGATATACACCATCTCTTCATTGACTTCAAAGCAGTCAATGACAATGTGAAAAGAACTGAATTATATAATGCAATGATAGACTTTGGATCCGACCTAAGTTAGTTAAGTTGACCCAACTAACAATGCAAGACGTAAGCTCATGCGTTAGAATTGAAGGAGAGAACTACGTTCTTTGACATTAATAATGGTCTAAGACAGGGGGACGCGTTGGCGTGTCTACTCTTTAATATTGCCTTGGAAGAGGCAATCAGACAAGTAAATATTAGAATGTATGGAGCTATTTTTAATAGATCGACGCAAATTCTCGCATTCGCTGACGATATAGTTATAGTAGGCACAGGTATGAGAGACATGGTGCAGTGTTTTACAAGGCTTGCGAACGCAGCAAGGGGAATTAGGACTTGTGGTAAACGAGGAAAAAACCAAATATATGTTGGTTTCTAAAAACCCTTGAAATATACAAGGTGGTCCAGAATTATGTACATTAATTTCTAGAGCTCATAGTACGTCCAAAAATAAGGGTACTTCTTTATGTACACTTTTTTATAAAGCTGAATAATAAGGGAAATACAACCCTTTAAAGGGGTGAATTGAAATTCTTATTTTTTCAAATATCTTCCAAACGGTTTTGAATACGGAGTTCATATTTTGGGAGTGATTATAAGACATTAGGATAATTAATTTCATGTTACCACCTACCACATTCTATATTAATACATGTTACTGTAAGGTGTCTTCTTCTTCGCGTGTCATATCAGAATTATCCGACGTTGGCGATCACCATTGCAAAGCTTCTCGATCTTCTGCAATATGGAATAATTGTCCTGCATTTGATATCTGAGTCCATTCACGAATGTTTTTTAACCAAGAAACTTGTTTTCTTCCTACACCTCTACGGCCCTCTATTTTGCCTTTAACGGGTCAGTTGTAATGTTTTATATCGACTTCCCCTTACTATATGTCCCAGAAAAGACATTCTTCGATGAACAGTCTTCTTAACAGTCTTTAGCAGTTCTCTATCTTTGTTAACGCTTCCTTAGTACTTCTTTATTAGTTTTCCTTGCTGCCCAAGATATCTTCAGCATTCGTCTATGAACCCATATTTCCAATGCTTCAATTTTGTTCATGATCGATACTTTTAGCGTCCACACTTCTGCACTATACAAAAGTACGGACCAAAGATAGTCCGATATCACAGTTCCCAAATATGTCATTTTGTGAACTTTCTCAACTTGGACTCCGTTTAATTGAAGCTTTGCATCGGGATGTGGGTCACGACTAAACACTAAAAATTTGGTTTTTTTTGAGTTTATTTTAATGCATATTTCCTTTCCTACTTCGTGAATACGATCAAGCAGAATTTGAAGACCTTCAATATTATCTGATAAAATTACTGTATCATCTGCATATCTAATCACATTAAGTAGTTCCCCGTTGATTTTTATTCCATATGGTTGTCTCTCAAGTGCCATTTTAAATAACTGGTCCTAGTAAACAAATATAAATAATAATAAAAATAACTGGTCCGGTTTGGCGACAAAATGCAACCTTGTCTGACTCCTCGTTGTATAGAGATTTCATCGGTGTAGTTATATCCAATTTTTACGATAGCAGTTTGATTCCAGTACAAATTTTTAATGACACGAATATCCTTGTCATCTATTCCGATATTTTTCAGTATTTGCATTAATTTTACATGCTGTACTTTATCGTATCGAAGAAATACGCAGGCCCGAAGTGGCCACAAACTGCCTACAAGAGAGAGACGTGGAAGAAGGAAGAAGAGGCCTATGTCCAACATTGGACAGCAAGGGCTGTATAGATAGATAGATAGACTTTATCGAATGCCTTTTCGAAGTCCACGAAACATGCAAATACATCTTTTCTTTGGTCACAGCATTTTTGTAATAGGATATTAAACGCAAAAAGTGCCTCTCTAGTTACCATAGCATTTCTAAAACCAAATTGGGTATCTTCAAGATCTTCCTCGCATTTGCGTCTAATTCTGTTGTGAAGTATTCTTAGGAAAATTTTAAGAGTGTGGCTCATTAGGCTAATTAATCGATATTCTGAGCATTTTTTCGCATTGTTTTTTTTAGGTATTGCGATAAAGATGGATTTGAGTCAATCTGTGGGAATCACTCCGGTGTTATATATTGCATTAAAAAGTCTTACTACTACTTTTATGTTATCATTCTCTATTAGTTTTAGCAACTCAGTTGGTGTATCATCTGGACCACAAGCTTTTCTAATTTTAGCATTATTTATAGCGTGTTCTACCTCGCATTTCATAATTTCTTGGCGTCAGTACAGTTTTGATAGAATTCGGCAATATTATTCCTGTCATCTTCAAACAAATCTGATATATATGCTGCCATTCTTTTCTTATTTCGTGCTCATTTACAATAATTTTGTTATTATTATCGAGTACAAAGCGAACTTGTTTTTTAAATATGTTACTCATTTCGTTTAGTTTTTTGTGCACATTAAGTAAGTCGTGTTTAGATATTACATCCTCTCTGTCGTCGCACCTTTCTCTCAATCATTTTTCTTTGGCAAATTTGATCTTCTTTTTGATTCTTCTCTGCATTTGGCTATATTTTGTTTCATTAGATTTTATCAGTCGACGTCCATTAATTTTAACTTTTCGGAGTTTTCGTTAACTTGGTTTTTAAATTCACTCCATAGTTCTTCTGGATCTTCTAGTTGTTTTCCGGTGTTTTTTATTATATTGTTAAATTCTTTTTTAATATTATGTTTTATGTTTATAACGTCAAAATTAAGTACATTGGTTTTTGGTTTTTGTCGCTGAATTCGTTTTAGCCTTAGTTTAATATCTGCTACAAGTGGTTGATGTTCAGATCCAATATCTGCCCCAGGAAGTGTAGTGACTTTTTTGACGGCATTTCGAAAACTCTCATTTACAAGTATATAGTCTATTCGATTTCTTGAAGACTCAGGGTTATTGCCATCATCAAATGGGACTTTCCAAGTGTATAGTCGTCGCTTGGGTAGTTTATACCTGGTGTTTGCAATGATCATATCGTTTTCTTTACAAAATTCATACAATCTCTGTCCTCGATCGTTAGGTTGTCCTAAACCATAAGGACCTACAGTCTGACCTCGTTGACCTTTCCCAATTTTTGCATTGAAGTCGCCTATAATATATAATATTTCGTGTTTATTAAGTTTCTGTAAGATGTCTTGGATCTGATCATACAACTTCTCGACTTCATCGTCATATTTTCTATCTGCTGTCGGGACATAGATTTGAAGTATGTTAGTTTTAAATGGTTGAGTATTTATTTGGAGTACTATTATTCTATCCGAGACTGGTACGAAATTGGTCACATATTTACTCAGTTCTGATGTTACTAATATACTGTAGCGAGATTAAATAAAACGAGCGGTTCGAATTTATATAAATATATTTATTTATAACTTTACAGTTCGGTAATATCTTATCAACTAAACTTAATTCCTAACATCGTTACATATATATACCAAAGTTACTATGCTCTAGAAAGTTCCCACCTCTAATTCTAATTCAGTCAAATACGTGACGGATTGTTCTCTTGCGGTCGAGAGATCTATCGATGGTTCTCGATGCCAGAGATGCTTCGAGATGCAACCGTTAGGCGGACCACGCTGAATGCATGTTCGTAACAATACCTACACCATTTTTGTGATGCGGGTCTTTTGTGCTGTTACCGAAATAAAATAATACACTTCAGTCCTTTTTGCATGATCCTGATTATGGCCATCTCATTTCGCTGATTCCCAGTAGCTCTATTTTCATTTCTTGAATTGCGTTTTCAAGTTTCCCAGCCGCAAATAGTCTTCTAACATTCCATGTGCACATTCTAAAATTAGATTTCGTTATTTTTAGGATTTCTTCACGAGGTTGAGGTTACTACACCGCAATTAACACCTATATTTTTTTATTGTTATATACTTTACTTACTTTAGTAACAAAAAATCTTTTAAAATAGTGGTTTATTTTAATTTTAACTCATAGAATAATAATAAATTACTGTTAAATTGGTTTTAAACATTTTTAGGCATACAATTGGGCAATTAAAGCATTAAAATTAATAAATGAAGATTTATCTCCAAGGTAAGATCGATTAGTTTAACATAAATAGATAACTTTTAAATTTCTAACATCTGTTTTTTTATTGTTCCATATTTCAGCTGGTGTAACCTCCCAATCCAGGCTTTCCGAGGTGACCTATTTGTCACATAACATGATACCCTTATAGCTCCTCCCCAGACAGACTTAGGAACCATTGAAGCATTCATACCACATTTTTCCATCAAAATACGGTTCATCCTTTTTGTCTTATGTGTGTACGGCACTGTGTAATCTAATAGAAAGCCATTTTCTTTACATAACTCTCTATATTCATTTGAAACATTTTCACCCCCATTGTCACACCTTAATTAAGAAACCTTTGAATTAAATTTTGATTCTACAAACCTCAAATATTCCTTAAATTTACTGAAAACCTCACTTTTATTTTTAATTAAAAAAAACATAGTAAAATGTGAAAAACCATCTATAAAAGTGACAAAATACTTATAAACATCAATTGTTTGTGGACTGATTGGTCCACATTCACCAGAATGTATTATTTCTAAAATTCTATTGCTTTTTGTTCTTGTTGAAAAAAGTAACCTTGAAAATTTTCTTTGTATACATGGTTCACAAACATTTACGAAACCAATCTTTGTCATTGTCTATTCCATGAACTAAATTCTTTTTAATTAATTTTTCTAGTGATTTAAAATTTATTATTTTTGTTTAACTATTTCAAAATTGATTTTGTATAAACCATCTCGTTTACCTAATCCTATTAAAAACCGTTCTTAATTAATTTTACACCATTTTCAAAAATTAAAGATATCTGAGACATTTCTAATCTTTTTACAGAAAAAATTTTTCGTAACTGCTACATTGAAACCATTTCCATATCTACATTCTAATTGTCAACCATTTACATTGCTAAAACATTAATATTTCCAACACCAAATGCAGGTAAATATTTACCATTTTTTGCTAATGCTATATTTACAGATTTATCCCACATTACCAAATCTGTAAATATACTTTTATTATTTAGTAAGTGATCCGTACATCCTGAATCAATCACAAATTCTAAGTTGTTCACTGTTTCACTATTAATTTTATTTTTACCTAATCTCATGTGACCTTTCCTGCTTCTGTGTGAAGTTGCTTGTATGAACTTCTCTATTGTGATGTATATTTCTCATACTCCTGTAATTGTTACCTCTATTTAACCCGTTTCCTCTAAGACTATCCTAAAAACCTCTTTGACTCTGAAAATTTCTTGTATAATTATTTGTAAATCTGCAAGGTCCTCTTGGGTAACTTGTTGATATTCGTGCTCAGGCACCTCTTTTCTTCTTCACTCAATAACCTTTTCTTTACCTCTTCATGTGACAGTATATCAGATGATAAATTTTCGACAAGTGTTACCACTGTTTCATAGGATTGTAGCAAAAGTTAACAACAAATTACATATTTTATCTTGATCTCAAATTTTTACTCCAGTGGCTTTTAAGTGCTTCAGAATTTCCTCAAATTCACCAATAAATCGCCCCTATGACTCACCCTGTTTTAATTTCATGGACAGCAACTTTATTTTAAAGGAATAGTTATCCTGGTAGCGTCTTTTTCTCATATTTTCCTTCGAAACTTTGCCACATATGGTAGGTTTGTCCTTTGTCCCGCAATATCTCTTAGAGCATAGGCTTTTGAGCTATGACAGACAAAGTCACCCATGGAGAAGTACTGCGGAGGATGAACACAACTGCGGATTTGGTCAACATCGTGAAGGGCAGTAAGCTGCAGTACTTATGACATATAATGAGAAATCAAGGCAGATACGAGCTACTTCAATGCATTTTGCAAGGTAAAATTGAAGGAAAAAGGGCCCAGGACGAAGAAGAGTATACTCGCTTGCTACCTGAGAGCATGGTATTGAAAGACCTGAACACAGCTATTCCGTATAGTAACCAATAAAGTCATCATATCCAGAATGATCGCCAACGTTCGGAACGGACAGGCACCCTAAGAAGAAGAATCTCGTAACTGCATCGGAAACACATTGAACAATTATTGATTTCTCTTTATTGTTGCATTCTGGAATTTTTTTTATCTCATTCTCGCTTAAACCTTTTTATGTCTGTTTCGCTTTTTACACACTAATACTTCATTTTCTGCCACTATTATTTCCATTCGAAACTTCCATGATAAGTAATTCAATTCTCCCCTGTTAGGGCAAAAAAGTTGATCACTTATTGATACATTATTATTATTTTTCCTCTATGATCTAGGCCCATAACCTTTACCGCACTATTACAATAAAACCAGCTCCTCTCTTATTGTCAGTTTATTTGACTGGATTATTTAGGATTACAGGAAATACACTTACATATTTTAAACTACATCTTATAACAACAACAACAACTATCATCTGTCAGTATCTTCTTCCTTTTCTTGTTAAAGAAAAGGGACAGGAAGCAACAAGGAGTTTTTTAACGTTTAACAACAACATGCATGTTTAAACCTGCCGCAGTGTGTGTCAACTTATTTAATTCCCATACCTTGTATTCTGTTAATCCAACCGTTCGGCTGCTTACTTTCTTACATCCATCTTGTTTGTCATCGGTGTATCTAACATTATTACGAAAAATTTGGAAGATAAGGGTACCAAATACACACTGTCTGGAATTTTGTATCTCGTTATAATTAAACCATGTGTGTTATCTCCCTGTTTCTCTATCTTCCCCTCTTTGTTTTCGGTTTCTGTCTTTCTCTCCCTCACTAGGATGAATAAAACTATCCGACATAACCTTAAATAAATAATGCTAATATGAAAATTGAAGTATCTAATGAATATATTTTGTAGAATTATCATAGAAGTTTTACGTCAAGCGTCGAAATCGTGCGTAGTGAAAAGAAAATTCGCCCCAGCCGGGCTGCTCATTTCACAAGCTGTCAACATGGCCTCTGAATTATACAAAGTCGACAGTCACCCCCACATCTCAGATACTTTACTCGATTATGGATTTTACCTCCTAAATTTCGACTCTATCCAAGAGAGCGTCAAAGTTTACGAAAAGGCGTTATCGATACGAAAACAGGTGTTCCAGAAAAACAATATTCGAGTGGCGTTGGGACACGAAGATCTTGCGTACGCTCTCTACGTTAATGAATACAGTTCTGGGAGATTTTATGACGCTAGGTGAGTATAACTATCGTTCATTCTTCTCCTGAATTAAGGAAATTTAAATGACAATATTTAAAGGATTAAGAAGAATTTTTCCATCTACAGTGTAGGAAAAAGTTTATGGTCGGTATGGACCTTACGTGAGATGGAGTGAGAAACAGATGTTTAGAAAGAGAGAGGTATATTAGGTCCGCCCTTTATATCGCCAAACATGCATGCCTGGAAATAATAAAAAAGGGGAAGTTCAACGTTGCCAAACTTATTGGATTTATTTGACCTGTTGCTTTTTTTGCATTTGAACAATGTTCTAAGATAATCCAATTTGGGCGAAGTTGATTGAAATGGCAGCTTACTGTTTTTTTTATTGGGAATATGCCACAAGTTTACTTTACAATAAGTGTAATATAACATTTTGATTTCCACTTCGGAAATCGTTTTATATAAATCAAATTTATTAATGTTTCGTATTTTAAGTATGATTTCCGAATTAAAAATCTAAACATCAAAATAAGCTTATTTTAAAGTCACATTGTGCCTTATTCTCAATATGAAATAATAAACTGCATACAATAACGCCACATTAAAAAATATTCATACACAATAATTATTTGGCAACGTCGGTATGGTCTGGTCTGGTTTGGCCGACCGAGTAACGAGTAGTAGAGGTGGGTCGTGGTAGTTTTATCGTTAAGAGCGTAGGCACAAAATTTCGTTCCAATATTTTTTAAATGCATTAATTTTTTGCGAATCCTGAGAAAACTAATAAATATTTTTGAAAAATTTAAACGCAGAATGAAACGATACATTATTACCGAGGGCCGAAAGTCCCTGAAAACTTCTATAATGTTTATTTTAATAAGTTATAGGAGTGAAAAAAAAATGTGATTTTTAATTTCAAATATCTCATTCAAAAATTATTATACTGTTTATTCTAAGGGACTTTCGGCCCTCGGTAATAATGTAATCCTTTATTCTGCGTTTAAATTTTTCAAAAATATTTGTTAGTTTTCTCAGGATTCCAAAAAAAATGAATGCATTTAAAAATTTAAATTTTTGTCAACAAGTAACTATGATTGTTTAAAAGTAGTTTTAAGTAAGAGAGTACCTACATAAACAGACATAATGGCTATTATCGTTTATGTGTATATTTATTGAAGTGAAAGAAACTAATGATTTATTTATTATAACTTGAAAAATAAACTAAACAATACAAATAGTAACTCGTACTTACATTTACATTACACGTTATAATTAAATCGCGAATAGTCTAAACTGACATTCAAAAACATAAGTTTTTCAACTTTACTTCTTTACTTCTTATTAACCGTTTTCTTTTTTTATTTCAAATTAAACCAGATTTTGAACATGTGTTCACATTTACAATACTAATAGTGGTTAAGTTAGGATATACATGGTGATGGTTTTTCCACCGTTGTAATGGACTCTCGATTCAGGTGTACGTGTAGATGAGCCATCTCCAATTAATTGATCAAAAATACACCATGGATTTAAGTCATCTTTATTGGTTTCTTTTTCTTGTACTGGTTGATTTTCAATAGTACAATCTTCTTGTTCGTTAATTATAGAAGTAACCAGCTTCTTAACTTTTTCTTTAATTTTTTTATCTTCATTTTTATCAGAAAAACCCTGCACTTTAAATGGTGAATCCATAAATGTACATAATAACAATGTGCCACTCTGTTCTATCCCTTTAAATCTTTTTGCTAAACCCGATATTAGTAATTGTACTACGTCGGATACTATAGATGTAAGGTTTGCTAAACCTTATTGCTAAATTTACCGTTTGCTAAAATTTTATTGCAAGACTCTTGCAGGCAGCGTACCATAACAATCACTGAACTATCCTTCAAGTATTTTTGGTCACTCATTGTACTTGTTATTTCTTTAAACGGCCGTAAAAATTTGGGATAGCTGAGAACAAATAATCCAGTGTTATTTATTTAGATTTGGTCTAAGTCTAATTCTGTATTATTTAATACCGATGTGGAACGGATTGCCTCTTCTAACTCGGTCATTTTTTTTTAACATGTAGTAGGTGAAGTCCGTGGAAACCTAGTTTCCACGTCTTGGATTGGCCGTTTGGGAACTTTATGTTGTAATTAATACTTTAAAAGCCTTTCTGAAGATAAGGTACTTTTTTTTTAAATGTGTTTTTTGCAGAATTGTCGAAAATAGGACTTTTTATTTTATCTATTGTCAAATCAGTTTTGACATAACATTCCTGAAGTAATGAACCTGACAGTTTTTCTTGTTGGCAGTTTATATCCAGGAATCCACCCTGCAAACTTTTTAAAAGCTGGTTCTTCACCTATGGAAAACGGATGAAACGAGTCTTTGCATAAGTTTAGTAAATCTTGAAAATCAACCAGTACAAGAAAAAGAAACTGATAAAGATGACTTAAGTCCATGGTGTATTTTTGATGAATTAATTGGACGTGACTCATCTAAACATACACCTGTATCGAGAGATATAAAAGAAGTCGACATGTATTTGTCTGATGATATATTACCCACAAAAAATTTCGAACGGAGATTGGAACTGTCCATTACCGTGGTGGAAAAACCATCGTCATGTATATCCTAACTTAACCACTATATTCATAAAATATTAATATTTTAAACAATAAAACTGGTTTAATTTTAAATAAAAGAAGAACACGGTTAACAAGAAAAGTGGAAAAACTTGTTTTTAAATGTCAATTTAGACGATTCGCGATTTAATAATGTGTAATGTAAATGTAAGTACTATTTGTATTGTTTAATTTATTTTTCAAGTTATAAGAAATATATCCTTCGTTAGGTTCTTTCACTTCAATACTTATACACATAAATGATAATAGCCAATATGTTTGTGTACTCGCTAATTTGAATACTGGTAAACAATCAACTAGTTACAGTTTACGAAAAACGGTTCCGATAAAAATTTAAAAAACGAGAGGATCCACCTCTAGTTTTTTAGGTATATTAGGATCGGAACCAGAGAATATGTAAAATATGTCTGATCGGAACTATTCGTCTCACGAATGACCAATTAGTGTTAAAAATATTTATGGAGGGGAGACCAAGGGGAAATATGATTGTTATCTTTGTCTATTCGCTGAAAATATGATTTTATATCTGCGTTAGATATCCTGTTAAATTTTACCATACCGACCATAAACTTTTACCTACACTGTATACCGTTATAACTAGTCATGTGTGGTATGACGACACTTTTGTGCTGATACTTTACGGTGAGTCATGTGTATTGATACCGCGACAATAAAGTGTTTTGACACAGTAACACCGGCGTAACACCTTAAGTGTTCTCATTCAATGCAATACACTGCAATAGTGCTATTTGATACAAGATACAACAAAAAGAGACAGTGCGTTCCTTTGCTTTGTGTACTTTGTTCTCAAAAAGGTTTTATTCGGGAAAAGATCACCTTTCGCTCATAGAGTTGATCTACTTTAAAGTGTATAATATATGTCTGAATTGTAAATATAAATGAGTCAGATAAAATTAAATTATTAGAAGAAGTTTTCACCAAGTAACAAAAAAACGAAATTTGTTTAATTTATTAATATTTGTATTTTGAGAACGATTTCCGAAGTGGAAATTGAAACGTCAATAAACTTATTTTACCCTTCAATTGCGGCTTATTGCCATTAAAATAGTATCTATATCATTGTACCTTAAAAAAGTAGCCTATACAGTTCACCAAAAATAGCTGAAAGTCTGAAATTCTTACTGCCTGCGCAAACAATGAAGTGAGAACGCACTCGCAAGGAAAAAGATAGCCTCTACGCGCGTGTGAACTTTAAAATATAGGTACAATCGGAGACGCAAATATAGAAATTTAAATTTTAAATAGTTTCTAATAGATCCCGTAGACAATTATTTTTACTGTCATTACTTTTCTTCAGTATATTTCAGTGTATTTGTGGTATTTGTTCGACAAAGTGAGATGTAAAAAAATATATCCAACAAAAACCGCTTGTATTGCTATAAATTATGGCATTATAAACCACAAATTATATTTTTATATTGACTATTTATAATTTATAGTACCATTATATTGACCAAAAGGTTTTGAAGAAAAAGGGCGTAAGCAGTAGGGTAATAAAGTAGTAACAAAATTGTCTAATGCAATACTAATAGAAATTAGATGTTCGGTTCCGGTGAAGCATAAATATCGTGTCTTTGTACCAGTACCTTTTGTTTAAAGCGGCCTTTATCTTTGAATATTTACCCAAAGTATGAAAAAAGTGTAAACTCTTTTAAAAAATGAGATATTTAGTATTATATAATTAAGTCATATATAAAATATTAAAAATAAGAATTCAAAATATTTTATAATGTGATTATTAATGACCGTGTAGGGGCCCTATAAATGATTAATGCTTTCCACTGCTACAATCGTCCGCGGAGAACCAAATAAAAATAACATTATTTCTAAAAAATTATTAAAAGTGATACCTAACACTTTCTGAAGAAATGCAACATGAGTGTCTCAGGTTCATATTTCTGAATCATCTGACTCAGAATCAGAGTCCATCTCGTCATTTTCAGAATCACTGTCACTATCGACACCTCCATTTAAAACCACCACGGTGTCAAAAGCTGGCTGTTGTGGCATATAATTTTGTTCTATTTTTTAATATGTTTACACGTAACTGTAAAACTGAATGTCCTTTACTCTCAGTATTTTGTCAATTTCATACGTTTTAAAGTAAGATTTGTGTAATTTTATATTGTCGTATAGTTCAAATTTCAACCTGTTATCTGTAAACGAAATATTTCGAGTTGTCAGCCACTGCTGCATTTCTGCTTTTCTGGAAAACATAGTTGGACATTTCTCAGTTTGTACGTTGTGATACAGTGCATTATCAATCACTAAAACGCTGTTCGAGAATAAATTTGGTATCAGCTTATCCTGAAGCCACTTTTTGTAAATGTCGTAGTTCATGCATCATGATAATCTCCTGTTTTTATAGTAGGTTTGTGGCGC